ATAAAAGAAATACTTTCCTAATCGTTAATGAAAAGAACATAAGATGCCTTTTAAATATGAGTTACGATTATCCACTTTATCAAAAAATTTAATATCTATTTTATTGGTCTCTTGCCCAGTTTGTTTTCGAAAGTTTAAATCAGAAAATAGTAGGTAAACGTAATGCCAAACAGCCTGACCCTCCATAAAAATTTTTGGGGTATTGAGTCCACTGTTACATGGGCCCGCATGATTACGCATATTCGCCCATATGTGTAGTATTTCATGTGTGACACGTGACTTTTAATTTACAGATCAATTAGTAAGCAATTTTAAAAACTATATACATGGTTTTAGACTCTCATTATTTGTGTTATGATACTGCGCATTATAGACTTAGAGTTAGCTTACATGTAGTGCGTGAGAGTAAAGACTTTTAAGTTTTTACTGTGACGAACTTAGCCCCTGAAAAATTAATATTGCAGATCGAATTGATAATTGTATTAAATCTAATTTTCAGGGACTAAGTTCTTCACTCTTACGCACATAGTGTACAAAACAAAATAAAAAAATAGACGATACAAATGATATAAATGACATGCTCATGCTAGAGACTGGACTCGAGTCAACTTGTAGTTTAAAAAACTTAGTCGTGACTCGAGTTGATTCGAGTTAAGACTGTTTTTTAAGTTATGAGTTGACTCGTGTCCAGTCTTTAGCTCATGCCAGGTAATAGTAGATTTTATTCCATTTTTCTAATATTATAAAATATCATACATATATACGGAAAATGAGGGAAATGGACTGTGGGGATGTGGTTACCATATTGACGATGGATATTCGTTTTGTTCTGAAAGTGGCGAGCCATATGATTCATTATATCTTCTTGGATATACTACTGGTGATATTATTGGATGCTAGTATTTTATACTAGAAACGGAGTCAACCTAGGTAATTAACACTTTAAAAATTGAACTTTATACTTTACAAGGCAAAGTAATATTTATACCATATTTTAAGGAATTGCGTGTCATCTTCCTGATGATTTCAAATGAATTATATATCCGTGTGTTGGATTTAGGTCGCAAGGCGTACAAATGTACTTACTCATAAAGAATATATGGATCTTCGAATGTTTGCTTCTGATTGGTTAGAGGTTCTTATAAATTCTAAAGCTGAGGGAAACTCTGATCATCGTGGTATAATCTTTGATCTTCGAGTATTATCATTGGCTGGATTTGTTGATGATTTAAGACTT